CATTGGTTCCACAAGAATACTTCCAACCAACGATCAAACTTCAAACTTCTCTTCAATAATCCAAACTCCACTCATACCTTACAAATGTTGTGACAAGATACCCACAACAATAGAAAAATTCAAGCTCAATCCAATTAAAATTAACAAATTAAATCTCGATGAACTTAATTTGGCAGAACACAAATTAAACAAATACAGCGAACAATTAGATGACCTCATCAACGAAAACTTCATACAAAAATACACTCCATGGTTCACCTACCTTTCAATTCTACTCATCATATCTCTTATATGCCTCTACATATTCTGCAAATGCCGCAAAAAAAGAAGATTCATTCCCAAACTCCAGATTTCTCCAGGTGACTTTCCACAACCACCGCCAGATTCACAAACAATTAGAGAAACTGTAAGAAATATAGTTGAAAGACGACGTCCTCTACGAAATATTCGAAATCCAGATATTGAATTAGAAGAAATATCAATTCCTAATTTCAACAAATCAATACCAGCCTAAATTGTTGCTATTCAATAACCAACAATTTTTATAAGGAGGGAGATGTTATATATTATTAAACAGTAGTTTCATATTAACAATATGCTACAATGTACTTATCATATCCAACGGAAATAATAGAACAATTAAAACCCACAACAAAAACGCAACTTCAGCTCCTCGAAACAAAGGGATCCTATGAACACCTGCAAGAAGATGATGCAATGGTCAACCCAGCCCCACTCTTGATTTTCAATTTCAATATTATATTATATACTTTTAAACTCACTCTTCTAAAAGCTCTCATATAAAACGTTTACTAAGTAAACTCCAATTTGTAAATTAAAATATTAAATTATATAAGTCGAGTCACGAAACAACTGTAACCCAAAAAGTGAAATAAATCAAATATTAATTAAAACTGTGTTTGTGTGTGAAAACAAAAAATAAACTTTTTTTAAAAACTAAATATTGGGATCCAAGACCCAACATGCATATTATGTAAAACCCACTAAAAATTATGAAAACGTTTTTGGCTATCGTGGTCAAAATACGACGTTGCCAAATTCTTGCTGTTATAAACATGCCATTATAAAATCTAAAAAATTATCATTTTGTGTGTTTATTATTGTTAAATGCTTTTTATCATTTTAATTTAATTTATTAAAAAGTATTTATTATACTTCTGATATAGGAACAAAAATATGGTATTTTTTTATAACCGGCAATGCCGCCACGCATGCTCCTCAATGCAATCACCCGTGTGATTCTCCCTTCCCCTACTTTACCCCACAAAAAAAAGTCTCATTGAGAAATGATTTGTATATGTGTGGAACTAGGTATTTGTTATTCCCTATGTGTCATTCCCTATATGTCATTCCCTATGTGTTATTCCCTATGTGTCATTACCCTATGTGTTATTCCGTTATCCGATGATAAAATAAATTAATTCTGTAACACTTTAAGAAATATGCCATTCCACATTAAAAAGTGATATTAGAACGGTCATATTCCTTAACCCAGATAGCACATTAAATCTTGAAGATGTATTTTGTATGTCTGTATTATGCCTGAACGTCTGAAGATCTAAAAAAGACGTCTGAAAGACGTCTTTTAATGTTCTAAATACATCTTATAAATGCCTGATAAAATAGTCAATTTTGACAAGTCAAAATCAAAATTATATCCCATAATCAGCGACTTCATGGTAAGATATAAGTAGGTACCATCTTATTTTGGTTTAATAGAAACAACATTAATGTAGGATTTTGAGTAAATAATATTATATATCTGACATTCTTGTAGATTGGTTATTTTTCCTACAATTAATAATATCTCTTTGTAATAAAAACATTATAAATGAACATGATTTTTTAAAATTAAGTATTAAGACAAAATAACCTTAAAATAACCCAGCGAAAGTTTTTAAATCAAATTACCCGCACATTTCCCATAATGCAATGAAATCATCAAATCGGCACTATCTTAAAAGTCACGCCATGTGATCCTTATGCTCTTTTCTATTTCACCAACGGCTGATATGTCTGCCTCTTTTCAATTCTTAAATAACTCGTAAGTTACGAGTCATCTGCATTTAGTTACGAGTCGTAACTAAATGCAGATTGCAATCATCCGACGCCATTTTTGCTTCTTGTAAGTATGTTGAATTTGGTTGAATGCTAATTACTTAATACCTTAAAAACTTTTTGGCGATGTAGCAATGCATAACCAAGAGGTTTTCAATAGGTATTCTTTAACATCTTAAAGACGTCTTAACGATGTTTAGCAAGACTTTATAATACCGTTACAAAGACATCTTAATGACGCTGTGTTTAAGATAAGATATCTTAAAGACGTCTTAAAGATGACTTGGTCGTAAACTGAACGTCTTATAGATGTCATAAGATGTCTCTGTACTTTCATAAAATGTTTTTTAATAAAAATAATTAATTTTATTAATTAGATTAAAAAATCGCAACAGACAGTATACGTAGATACTTCCAACATTCAAATGGCATTTGATTTGATCATCAAATGACATTTGATTTAATCATCAATATTAATTACGATTAATTATTAGTATTATGTGATTTCGCATTAAATTTAATATGCACCTCGGCATTAAAGTCATTTTTATCACTCACGTGGTTATTTGCCTTGGCTTTCGCCTCGGAAAATAATTTCCACATTCGTGATAAAAAATACGACTTTACTGCCTTGATAAATAAATAACTATTTTCTAGTTTTCTTTTTAGAAAATGTTCTTTGTTACAGGTTTAAGAAAGTAAAAAAATGTCACGTGATTATAAAAAAATGGGAGGGCGTACCTATGCCAACTACACTCATGTCCAATTATTTATATTCAGCTCTTTCACACTAAAACCGAATATATCTATATATATATGGGGCGTGGCCTCGCCTCCCTCCAACGCGCGACACAGTAGCTAAGCAAATAGACTGCATCGCTAATGAGATTTTTTGCATTATTATCATTTAATTTTTTAAGTCCTCACCTGCTCGACCTTTCGTCATGTCGTTTATCACACAAGCAACTGTGACGCGCCTTGGAGGGAGGCGAGGCCACGCCCCATATATATATAGATATATTCGGTTTTAGTGTGAAAGAGCTGTATATTTGTTTTTGTTAGGACTCCCTGTTATGTTTATATGAATTTCTTTTTTGTTAGGTATTTCTAAGTTTTTAGTTTTAAATGGGCGTAGCGACGGGGGGCGGGGTTTAAACCCTCCACTTGATGCGTCTTAATTTGCATTTTTGACCTTTTTTAAATAGATTATTATTATTTTGTTATTTTATTACTATAAAATGCTAACCCCTTCAAGGCTTAAGCCACGCCCTTGTAAAAAAGAATACATCTTTTTCATAAAAATAATATATAGAAGGCTTAAAAAAATCTGAAAAAATTTAACAACAAAACTGGAACGCTTTTTAATTTTTTTTTGGTGCCAAAGAAGGCATACAATGCGGCCTACTTTATATTTTATGCCATATTCAAATGGTCAAAATAGATTTTATCTCCCATAAAAAATCATGTCGTGATTTTTTAGGCCATCGGTCAATCGCAAACAGTGATGGCATAAAAAATCACGACATGATTTTCATTTCTCACGCAGTGACATCCGGATGATGTCAGTATGAATAAAATTTGTAAAAATCACGACGTGACGTTCGTATGATTTTCATTTATCACGCGGTGACTTCCGTATGATATCAGTATGAATAAAATTTGTGAAAATCACGACATGATTCACGTTTTGTTAAACATTAGAATATCTTTTTTAATTGAACCCGGACAACATTCGTGATATTCAAACAACGTTTTATAAATTATAACGGCGTAATGTGAATAGCAAACTAGGTTTTAAATTCGCAGTTCGCATGCGCAAATTTTGCAAATATCACACCGTGAGTTCTACATAATATCACTGTGATTCAGCATGTGTATGCACTCAGGATATCACAGCGTGATAAAAAAAATCACGTTGTGATATCATCATGACTTCACCAGGAAATCCCGATTGTTGTCCGGGTAATACTTATCTAATATATATATATAAGGGGCCGTTCATTAATTACGTGAGGTGTTTAGGGGGGGGGGTCGAACCAAACCTCACCAAATCTCACGTGGGGGGAGGGGTGTCTCGGCAAATATCACGTAATTTTTTTTTTCGAAAGAAAGAGTGTAAAATTGCGAGAAAACTGGGTTAAATTAAGTAAACAATTATAAGCAAATTGTTTTTTTTAATAAATCTAATGGAATCAAGCACAGATTAACTTATTTACATTAAAACCATGCATTTTAAAAAATCTCACGTGAGATTAAGGGGGGGGGGAGAGGGGGTCGAGCAAAATCTCACGACATCTCACCAAGGGTAGGGCCCTAGAAAATTTTGGCGATTTTTCGACCCCCCCGGGGGGGTCGAAAAATCGCCAAAATTTTCTCACGTAATTAATGAACGGCCCCTAATTAATATTTTGTTCAAAAATAAATATATGTAGGTAGTAGGTACCTACTACGTACATACCTACCTAGGTACAAGCTAATTATGTAAAATGCAAGTTTGCATGAAAATTTAAAAAAATATTGCATTTTTAAAAGTTGCTTTACAAATTTCTACAGAAATATTTCAATGCCCATGCAATTATTTATAAGTGTATTTGTAAACAACAATTACTAGCATATGCACTCTATTTTTATATTAAGGTCATTTTTGAATATAAATATGCAAATAAATTCAATAGATATCTAATATAATAATATTAATAGTAATTATTAGGTGTATATATATACCTACATATATGTATATATATTTATGTACATAAATTATTACTCTATTTACTTTATAAGTAGACGTTAAAAGTTAAGGTTAAGAACAGTTTTTTTTTAGATTAAAGAAAGTAAAATCGTATATCAATACTCTTTTTACTTTATAAATAGGCGTTAACAGTTTAGATTAAAGAAAATAAAATCATATTTTTAATACATACCAAATAACACATTTCACATAAACAGATCACACCTTCACAGCATTTAATAGGATAGAACAAGTACAAAATGCTTTTTCTCCCTATTCATAAGGAGATGCTGTTAAACTATCGATTTTTCAGTTCACAGATAAACCGGTGTATTACATCAAAACGAGTGTTTACGTCAATCGAATATTAATCGTAGCTATAGCGGGTATAAATACAATAACTACAAGTGAGACGTAGTAGGTATTATATTGCACTAGGCGTCTCTAACCGTTTCTGCGAACGAACTGCCTCGTATGGTACGAGTCGGGTCGCTTCTTGTTACCGCCAGTCACCGGAGGCCGGTGGGAGTTTCTTTGGGCCCATCGACTGCATGGCTGTCACAGCTGTGTGCCGGTTTTGCGAAAAGCCACCCTCACAGAGTGAGCGTTGTTCTAACCGGCTTTCTGACTCAGATTTTCAGCCATTTAGAACAACACAGCCTTATGAGTCCTAATCATAGAAAAAGACCTAATTGAGTGTATTGGACAGATCTCGGCTAATTAGACCCGGTCCATCAAATTTCTACTCGGCCACATCCATTGATCTCGGCAATCTACTCGTCCTTTATTAGGCGGCCTAATTTAGGCAATTGTGATGTCTAGTCTATAGACAGTCTAGATAGTGGTCTAACCTATAGGTATAAAATATAGTCAGAACGGACGTATTTATGATCATGATCATAAATTTTGGTCGAATATAGGATATTCCAACTTTTAATCGAAATAATTATTACCATTAATGGTTATACATAACTTTAAGAGTATTTAAGGTTTGTTCCCACTATTTATATCGTTTCCATTAATGGCCAAACATTTGGCAAATTAATTCCTAACAAAATTCAGTTAGTTTAACCATTAGTTCAGTGGCGTAATAAGGGGGCCCAATGCTCACCTTGCCGGCTATTGGCTGCCAGGGCCTCATTCGGGGTCAGCTTTAAAAGTTTAAACCAATAAAATAAAGAAATATTTAATTTTTTAAATATTTAATCTTAAAAAAAATAAAAATCTTAAAGAACTAAACGTATAAGTATTTTTTGTTTAAAATATTAAATTAATTCGTGGATTTTGAACATGCGCGATAAATAAAATGCGGTTGTAGCGCCATCTATAAAACGCTTTTCCAAATGTTAATATTTTCTAAATTTATATTATAATTAATTTAATAATGTTATTTGTTATATTTTAATTAAAATAAATTCTATAAAGTTAATATTTTGTCGAATTGCATTTAATTTAATTTTTTTTAAATTGATAAATTTTAACTATTTTTAACAAATAATTTTTGCATAACTTTCAAATCAAATAACCATATATGGTTAATTAATTAATTAATTTTGGTTTAAAAATATCTTATTCCATATACCTTTTTATATGCAGGATCATTTTCGTAATTCTATAATAAATAATTCTATATATATAAATATTATTCAAATATTTTTAAAAGAATCTTAATAATAATTAAGATTCTTTTAAAAATATTTGAATAATATTTACCTAATATTTTCTGTTTATATATAATATACATACATATATTATCGTTTGTTAACGGAATTATAATTATATATACACATATATGTATATATAATTATAATTCCGTTAGCAAACGATAACTAAACACAAACTAAAATAAGTTTTCATCATAGTAGGTACTTACTTTCGTCCCTAAAAGTCGCTATTTAACACTTGTAAAACAAATAAAAATTTCGTAGATAGCAACGAATATAAAAGACCTTTTCTTCACACCTTGTTCGAAAGTAAGTACTTTCCCCAGTGAACCAAACCGTGACTTATGACCTAAAATTTACGTAACACGTAGATCATATCTAGGTAATACAATTTTTACGTCATAGTGACATAATACTGACCCAAAACGTGACTTTTATATGATGTAATTAAATGACTTACATATTACGTACATCTTATGTAATATTAAAGTCATATCGTGACGTAATATTAAAGTCACTTTTCTTACGTAAGACTGACATAAGAAATCTGTCATAATATTACATAACTTTTAGGTCACTGTCTTACGTAAGACTGACGTAATAAATCTGTCATAATATTACCTAAGTGTAAGGTCACTTTCTTACGTAAGGCTGACGTAAGAAATACGTCATACTATTACATACGTTTTAGGTCACTTTCTTACGTAAGACTGACGTAAGAAATCTGTCATACCATTACATAAGTTTAAGGTCACTTTGTAAGGTAAGACTGACATAAGAAATCTGCCATACATATTATTTAGACGAACTAGATGCAAAAGTAATTTCAAAGTATGAAATTCACTGTATTTTAATGTTTGAAATAAACTAATTTCAATGAATGGACTTTTATTTTCAATGAGTGAAATAGTCAAACATAATTTTTATTTTTTATTGATTGAAATGGTTAATTCAAACATTGAGTAAAATAACGTAAGTAAATTCTATTAATTGAAATTGACGCCGATTATTTTAAACAATAAAATCAGTGGATATATCCAGTATACTTTTCCTTACCAATGAGTTTAATTCAAACATTAAAATACACCAAATTTCATATTTTAAAATTACTTTTGCATCTAGCATGATGAAAGAAATAACGCGAAGTTCCTTGAATTTTTTGGCTACTTATAAGTAGCCAAAAAATATAGTACTTGGTCGATTAAATGAAAATATGGTTTAAAACCAATCAAAAAATAATGTATCTTAATTTAATATGTAATAACCATCATAATATATTATAGATTTTTATGATTCCGGTTCCTACTGCTTTATGACGTAAAAAATTTTGAAAATAGCGTCGTACTTTCAAAAGTACCCAGATAACCAGCGTCCTTCCGTTTGCCGGTCAGTTGCCTACTATTCGTTCTCTTGATAAGGTAGCCGTTTGCTGTCAAGTGGGTGCCACCATTTGACTGTCTGTAGACAAAAATCTTTTCTAACAATATATTGTGTGCAATCCACCGGCAACCGACGGGAAACCTTTTGCTTATAATTATTGTGGACAACATAAGAGTTTATAGGCGGAAATGTTTCCTGACAACTTATAGTGTGCAACCCACCGGAAACCTTTTGCGTATACTGATTGTGGGCAACGGATAGGAAATGATTTACCTATTCAAATTCACTGAATTTGGTGGCAATTTGCCGATAACGAATCAAAAATTAAAATAAATTAATAAATGAAGCGTTGAGAACCAGAGTGGCCTTACCCACAAACATTTATTCTAAAATGGGGTTATAATTTTAGGACAATATATATATATATATATATATATATATATATATATTTGGGTGCTTTTTTTAACAAAGTTTTTCATTTCCGAAAAATATATTGTCCTAAAATGATTGTAACATCATTTAAGAAAAAACATTTGTGGGTTAGGCCACTCAGGTTCCAAACGCTTCATTTACCTATTCATTTTAATTTCCGATACGTTATCGGCAAATTGCCACCAAATTCAGTAATGCCTCATTTATTGGTATTGTTATTTTAACAAGAGGGTTAGGCGTAAATTTTCATACCCGAATTTTTTCAAACGTCGTTTTATTACAAAAATACCTATATTCACAAAGAAATAAAATATTATAAATATTTATATACACAACAGAATAACCTTATAAGCCGATAATTTATATAATAATAAATAATAATAATAAATGTTCTTTATTGAAAAAAATACATTTTTCAAAAGGCCATTGACTTTCGTCCTTCAGCCGGGAATAATAAATATATTTATTATTATATAAATTATCGGATTCAAACAGGCGCAGCCTTATGGAATCTTCATTGTTTACGTTTGGATCTCGACGCTTAAGCCTGATTTATAGATTGCCTTTCTTCCTTCCTTCCTTCCGTAGAATATGAACAATACAAAAACTTTTTAAAGATTCCCATACGGGAATCTATAAATGGCACTACGTTTTTTGGTATTGTTCATCTTTTATGAGAGGAAGGAAGGAAGGAAGGAAATCTATAAATAAGGCTTTAGCGGTAATACGTTGACGCTGTTTTGCGGCAAAACTTTTGCCACTCGCCGTTACCTCTCTTTGAAGTTCAACACGCGTTGGTGGATCAAAGTTTTTATTGGTACCCACAGCTCCTGCAATAAATATATGTTTAGCAATAAACATATGTTTAGTTTGTATAAAACATTATTTAACATACCAAAAATAGCCCTAACAAGACCAGGGTTGTAAAGGGGATGATTGCCTTGCTCATCCCCCCCATGTATATTGCATATCTCGTCGGAGATAAACTTCCTGAACAGTTTATGAATGTGTAAAGGCCCCATAATCAATCTGAAAAATAAAAATAATTTATTAACGCTTGGCTTGACAATTTTTTCAGTCAGATTTTAATTAATAATTTGATAATTTTTTACACTATGGTAAATTTTGTCGTTTCTTGGGAAGCATTTGGTTCTATTAAAATATCCACTAAATGTGTTTATTCACGGCACTTTTTTGATTATCAAAAATTAAAAAATGCCTAGCTGGTATTGTATACAAATATATTTAAGAGCGATAAAAATTGGTTCAAAAATGCAAATTTTACAAGGGCGGTAAGGTGTGCTTTATAAAAATTTGTTGTAGTATACTACAACAAATTTTTGTATTCAAAAAAAAAATTACATTAATTAATTAATTTAAAATTACCGCTATTATAATAGCTTCTGAAATTTTAAATAAATTAATGTTATTTGAATAAAAACCCTTATAAAATTATAATAATTCAAAGAAAAAACTACATCTTCAAAAAATCCTACATTTTTATAGCCTATATTTAGGTACATGCCGAAAGAAGTTTCACTTCAATATAACAAATTATTTAAAAATTTACTTACGTTTTGGTTTCTTGTTTGTATTTTTTTTTTATTTTCAAAGGATTTTTAGATTTTTCCATATGGATATAGGTACAGCTAAAGCTAATAGATAACTATTGCGTGCATAAAACATACCTGATAGATTTCTTGTTTATATTAATCAACACGTCGTAGTACGACGCGTCGGTCGTACACACACTCGCAGAACAAACCATAACTTATAAAGAACAAATGGTGAGCAACGGTAGCGGGGACTCTCGCGCAAGCGCGGTTCTTTATTGTGGGAAATATGTTGGCCGTCCGTTGCACCTCTGTTGCATACAATTGTTGACTGGAATCTATTGAAAATAAGCAGCTATCTTGGGCGGAAACAAATTTCTTGCAGTTTTCATGCAACTGACCAACAAGGTATTTTAGGAAATGTGTTGCCCGTCGGTTACACCTCTGTTGAATACAACTCTTAATCAGAAATTATTGGAAATACGTGTCAAACTTGGGCCTAAACATTTTTCTTGCAGTTTGCATGCAACTGACGGGAAATGTTTTGGACTTCCAACTTATTGGCTTACTGTTGCATGAAATATGCCAGCTTGTTATTGCCGACAACGCGTTTCTTTAGGTTTACTAAGAAACTTTGGTTATCTGGGTACACATTTTATTCAATGGTCATGTGAAAAATCATGTAGGTATGATTAATCATGGTTGCAAGTACCTACTTGCAAGTACCTACTTATTTTTTAAATTGTAAAAAATTATCAACAAAAGATTTACGTGTTATTACGTCTTAACTTGTTATTTTTGTATTGTACCTATGTTACTGTTATTATTTTTTGAAAATGGCGCTTTTGGTGAAAGTGGAATTTTTTTGTTCCACCCTGTACAATCGAAAAAATAAGTAGTTACGCTTTCAAAGACCTGAAATGATATTTCACTCACTTCAAATTTTTTTAAATGTGACCTTGGCAGTACGACGTCATTTGTTTTTTTTAAATCCATGCATGTCAAAAAATGTTAGGTACCTATTAAAATACTAAAATTTTAAATTTCTAAAATAAAAATAATTTTTAAATGTTGAATATTGTCCCTAGCTATAGCTATAGCTACTCATAAAAAGCGATTTTTTTTGTTCTTACTTCTGACATACCCTGTAAAGAATCTGAAAAATTAGTAGTTGGTTCAAAATCCATTGTGAGTTGGTTTTGATCAGCTTCATAAATTAGATAAAGTATCAGCTTGCAATAAATACCTTTTCGGTAATGATTCCATTTCCCATTGAAAAAAATGTGACCTTTTGACAGTACGACGCCATTTTAGAAATTTTTCAAAATTGGTTTAAGTCAAAAAGTAGTACCCAGAGTACCCTTGTCTCTGGTAGTACCTATATATTTAATGCCTTGTTTAACATACTAAAATTTCAATTTCCAAATACAGAGGTTCAAAAAATAAAACTATAAAAAATAATACAACCAAATTTAAAGAATTTAATATTATAATATAATATGGTATAATTATATATTAATATATTAATATTATATTATTATATATAATACCTATAATAATAGATAGGCATTTGCACAATAATGTTGGTATTAGTATATTTTTAAAATTTAAAAAATAATAAATAAAAGAAATGAAATTGACAAACGAAATTATTTAAGTACACAGAATATTTAGTATTAATAATTAAGAAACCAAGAGATTTTTAAAAATATATGTAAACTATTAAAGAATTTTTCATTGATAAAATTTTTTTATAATAATATTATAATATATAAGGGTAAAGTTGTCAAATAACATTGATATATTAATTGTTAACAGTTGCAATATGCAGTAAGGTTGCCTATGATAAGTAGGCATCTACTATAATATAGTAGAAATCTACTTATCATAGGCAACCATTATTGCATAATACATCTCGCTTATGTGGCACTATTCGTTAAGTATATAAGTTGACACTGGCTGCATTGCAATTTGAGATTTAGGAATCCGAACCTCGGCAAATAAACGAGTCACGAATTGTGGCCTTACGATAATTTACACAGAGAAACTGGTTTTTCTATGATAATTTAGCTTTTTCAGTGGAATTCTTTGTTGGAGCCAGGATTGTTCCGTCTGGATCGTCATGAAATTTCCGTAGCCCTCTGCTTAAACAGTGCCTGCTTTGCAAGGCCAAAGCCGCGAACCCACAATTTCACTCATTTAACGTCAAGAGGGAACTGATTTCAGCCAAGTGAGCTGTTTCAGTATTTACTTATTTTGCCCCATGATGAAAAATAAGGAGGTCATATTTATGTCACATTTATTACGTAAATATTATGTAATAGTATGATGTCAGTGTTACATCAAGATGTTTACGTCAGAGTCTGACGTAAGAAAGTGTGAAATAATGACTCTTGTATGACTCAAGTGTGACCTATATCTTACGTAAGCGTGACTTGACATGACGTCATATTTACGTCATATTTACGTAATTGTGTTTACTGGGTCGTCCCTAATAGCAGCGACGAAAGTTTAACATTTACTCCCTGTGCTATTAGGGACGAAAGTACGTACTTTCGACCAAAGTAAACTTTCGTCCCTGCTATTAGGGACGAAAGTAAGTACTTTCGACCGATGTATGAAGAAAACTAGTATACACCACACGGGCCAAACGTTGAAATCTATAAATGGCACTACGATTTTCGTATTGTTAATCTTTTACAGGAGGAAGGAAGGATGAAAGGAAGGCAATCTATAAATCAGCCTTTAAACACCAAGATGTCGCACCAGTGCTTAATCCGTCATTCGATGATAGAATAATTCATTCTGTAATACCTTAAGGAATATATGTCATTCCACATTAAAAAGTGATATTAGAATGGTCATATTCCGTAATAACTAGAAGTAGCTAGAAAAAGAAAAATATTTTTATATTTTATGATTAGATTTTTTGTGAGAGTTTTTTTAAGAATGGGAAATATTTTTGTGAGAAAATTTTTTCTCGCGGAAGAAATATTTTGCGGGAGAAATAGTTTTTGTGAGAAAAATTTTTCTTTCGGTTTGTCACGCAAAAAAATTTTTAAAACCTGAAATATGTTTTTGGTGGTGAAACATTTTTGCGGGACGAATAGTTTTTGCGTGAACAATATTTTTGTGAGAACAATTTTATTGTGGGAGAAATCTTTTTGTGCAGTGATACATACTTTCCCATAAGAAATTTATATTCTACGTGCATACAAAGTTTTTTAACCATTTTTTTAAGTGGACCAAACGGCACTTTATAAATTCCTTATTGCAAAAAAGTGTTATTAACTCAATTTAAGATTCAGATTATTATTTTGAATATTATTTGCCAGTTGATCTCTTCTAATATGGAATATTTTTTTTTTGTTTATAAAATTTTTAATTTTTTTGTTTTCTGTGGAAAAACTACCGTTTTTCATTTTAATCTTCCGCTTTTTATTAACGATATCTTCGGCTTTATTAAAAAGCGACCTGGCAACACCTATGACTTAGACAGTGTTATACGATTAATCGTGTGATTACACGATTTCGGTCCTTTTTACACGATTACACGAATCAAGGATCAATTCTCACGATTTTTGGCGTTCTGTAACAAAATCGGCACTTTTAATAAAAATGTAAAACGTCAAAAGCATTTAATTAATTTTTTAAAAATTAAATCACCATATTAAGTCCGCCCCTGCTCCTGTTTATAAATATTTCGGCCATAAGGAATTTTTTTCGCGATTAAATTGTCGACACTGGCGATTAATTATGGGAATCCCATGGAACCTATTCAAGCTCGTGCATTTTAGGTATTTCCCACAGCTCTTAATTTACTTTAAGCGGATCGCGCGTATGTTGTAATATTTTATTTTGACGTAAATAAAATGTCTAAAGCCTGATTTTTAGAATTCCTTTCTTCCTCCCGTTGAAGATGAACAGTACAATCCCGTACGGGAATCTATAAACGGCACTACGGTTTTCGTATTGTTCATCTCTTACGGGAGGAAGGAAGGAAGGAAGGAAGACAATCTATAAATCAAGCTTTAGACTTTTTATTTACATAAAAATTAAATATTAAAACATTGGCGATGCGCGATACTTCTAATAGTAAAGCCTGATTTATAGATTGCCTTCCCTCTTCCCGTAGAAGATAAACAAAACCGTTGTGATATTTAAAGATTTCCGTACGGGAATCTATAAATGGCACTACGATTTTAGTATTGTTCATCCTTTACGGGAGGAAGGAAGGAAAGAATGAAGGCAATATATAAAATAAATATATAAATAAAAGTGGCGGACACAGAATTTTGAACGTTATAATTTGGTGTAAATCTGTAAATAGCAAAGAAACAATATTGTGCATTTTTGCTTTCGCTGTCAAAACGACCAGACTAGTGATAACCGGAAGTAGGTTAGTTGGCTATAAAGGAAGTTAACCTCTTAAGTGGCTATGACGTATATATCCGGATTTTAAAGTTTATATTCCAGCGCTTATGACGGATATATTCGGATTGAAATTTTACTTCGAGCATTTAATGGATATGCCGCATATACTCGCATGCGGTGGTTTACAGTGTAGGGGGGTGCCTATTCGATAGCTTGATGAGAAAATACCGCGAAATAGTGTTGGGCGTACACAGTAACAATCTTTATTTGTTTGCGCAGCACGTACTAGCTATTTTTGGTAAAAGAATATTGTTAATAATAATATTATATCGGATTAGCCTACTGAAATGCATTGTGTTGATATTAGTGTCGAAAATAGTGATTTTACCAGCTCTGATGGATCGGAAAGCGATTCAAATTGCAGTGATGAATTTGAGAGTAATAATGACGAAAGTGATAATGTTCCTGAAAACGAAGAGGCCGAGGAAATAAATTTTGACATGCCTTGGACTGAGAATGGGATTCCCCGACCACCCTTTAAATTCACGGCCACCAGTGGCGTACAGATAAATAATCTAAATGATATAATCTATAGACACTTTTAAACACTCACCATCAGAAATGTAACTTTAACATATTAATATGGCCACTTAAGAGGTTAAGATTTTAATATTAACTGGACGAAAGACGTTTTTTGCAGACCTCCAAAAAGACTGAAAAGTGCTGCAGCAGTCATGACTACAAACAAAAATACAAAAAAGATTTGGAGAAAGTGTGAAATTGGGTCCAGGCAAGTAAGAAAGGCAGAGTTTATGCATGGTATGGTATTTTTTAACTGAAAAAAGGTTTTTTTATAACTTGTTTTTATGTATTTCAAAAATAACATTTTTACGACTTTACCCGATTTTACACGATTCTCTCTGCACTTCATCTGGCAACACTGCCTTATTTCTATGAGCAACACTGTCTGTGATCCTAATCAAAGGTGTTTTTTGAAATTAACCTCATTTTGTGTTTTGCAACGAGAAGTTCAATTAATTAAAAATATGAATTTAGATCAACTTGAAAACGAAAATCCAAATGTTTTTAATAAAACCGAGGATCGTTTGATCACCGCCCAAGAAGAGGATGATAACGTTGTTGACGAATTTGACAGAAGAGAAATATTTGGTAATATTGGATACCTTTAACAAATATAATGAATATTTATCATATTATTTTAGATCTTATTAGGGACATTAACGATCCAGAACACCCGTTATCACTAGAGGAGCTGCATGTAGTTCAAGAAGATTTAATAGAAGTAGACAACCACAAGAATGTTGTCAATGTCAGTTTTACTCCTACAATTCCCCATTGTAGTATGGCCACATTAATTGGCCTATCAATAAGAGTAAAGCTTTTAAGATGCCTGCCGGCCAGATTTAAGGTTACAGTAGAAGTTACGCCAGGCACTCACAATGCAGAACACTCTGTAAACAAACAACTTGCTGACAAAGAACGAGTAGCTGCTGCCCTTGAGAATTTTAATTTGATCAAAGTTATTAATCAGTGTATTGCAAACAGAAGTAAAGGTTAAGAATGGATTTGGAGTTCATCCCATTACCTGTTGTGCAAAGCAAAACTTGCAACAGCAAATTTTCTAGCTTCTTCAGAAAAATGTTTAAGTTTGAGCAAATGGATTTTCAGTTTGCCTTATGGCAAATAGTTTATTTATTTATTGCACCTCAAAAACTATCCAAAATATTTAGGGCAAGAAAAGTTTCCAAGCTTCAATATGCTAGAGATGATCCAGCATTTTTAGTTTTATTTTTGGTTGCCCTATTTATTACATCAATTGGATTGGGTTATCAAATGGACTTAACTTTAGTGCAGTTCTTAAAATTTTTATTTTTAATCACATTTCTTGATTGTGCATGCATTGGAGTTGTAGTTTGCACAATTTTTTGGACTCTTACAAACAGAATTTTAAAACCCATAAACAGCAAAATTGAATGGGGGTTCTCATTTGATGTTCATTTAAATGCCATATTCCCCCCTGTAATACTTCTACATTTATTGCAAATAATATTTTTTAATGTCTGGCTAATTGGCAATAACATGGCTGCTTTATGCTTTGGAAATACATTCTTGCTTTTTGGGGCTATTTATTACATTTACATAACTTTTCTTGGATACAATTCAATTCTGGTTGTCAGAGACACTAAAATGTTGTTATTCCCTATACCGTGGATTATTTTTATTTATTTATTCACTTTGTTTTTTAATGTAAATCTTGTTCAAGTGATTCTATATTGTTATATAGATAGAGCTATTTAATGTGATAATAAATTGTAATATTTAAATAAAAAGGAAATATAAAAACAACAGTTATTTATTATTTACTTAGTCTATAATTACACATTTAATTTACCGTTTTTTCGCATTCATCGCCGTAATATTTGATGGACTTGACTGTTTTGTAGGATCATATTTGTACGTTTTTACAATTGGCCCCTTTCCTGCTCTTTGAAATTTAATTTCATCCAACCTTCTCCTCTCTTCCAATTCTCTTGAAATTTTCATGTTTGACCATGCTAAATGATATTTTATTTTCATAAAAATTTTAACATAATTTAAATTAAATAAACATACAGTCTTTTATTCCTTCAGTAAATCCTTTTGGTTTCATTGGTAAATTTTCAGTTGTATGTGTTACTAAGGCTTCTATCTTAAAATAATCCCTAACTGCTGGTATTTTAAGTACTCCCACTTGCACTAGGGAAACAAAATTACTTGATACCCAATAGCAAAGGATGGCACCAGGAAAATTAACGGTGAACGGTAAAATAACCACAGGCAAAGCCTTAAGGAAGTATCTCATCACTTGAAGATTTTGTGCTGATAATTTTGCTGAATCTGTACCCAACTATAAAAAGAATTAAATTAGAATAATTTTGTAATCAATTTATAAAGTTTTTTACCTCAATGGTAGCATATAATGTTGCACTAGTAATAATTGGCATTAGAAAATACTGGTCAGGAACTGTAAGATTTGTGAACCACCACAAACCACCTGTTTCTAAACTCTGCACTGGGATATTTGTCATTTGCCTCAATCCAACAAAAAACGACACAAAAATAGGCATCTAAAAATATAGGATTTTTCAACTAATTCTGTAATGTGGAATGAGAAAATCGCGAAAAATCGATTTTCATTATTTCTGATTAAATGAAGATAATTATATATTATGCCTGATCAATTGAAACTATATCTTTTGTTATATTAATAACTACAGCCTGGATTATATGCAACATAAAAAGCTTAAAATATGCTTGCAAAATGCTTAAAATATGCATTAAGTGGGCTGAAAAGAATTTGCAAGCTTGGTCTTAACATGCAAATACATATAATCCGGGCCCCATTAACATTACTGTGCAACACAAAAAAATAGTTGGGGTGAAAACAACCAAAATGGAGTCTCTGTGACTCGTATAATGTAGCCCATAAACAATTAAATGTTTATAAAATTAGTATCTTTAAATTGGCAATCCTTATTTGATTTTTTAAATTCAAACAATGTTTTTGTTGCAAGTGTTGAAAAAAAGTTTAGTTTGAGAAAAAGTATTGCTAACAAAAACCAAACCATGCACAATCCCAAAATAAATATATGGGGTGTCCCAAACTGATTTGGACAGACATTTTTAAATGGTTTTATTCTATTTTGATAAACATTCTTTTTTGGGTTTGCAATTTTTGTAGTTTTCATTCCATTTTTATGAAAATTTGTGCAGAGTAACTAATTGCTTAAAATAGAAATCACATTTTATTATAAGTAAATTCGAACTTCAAAAGCTCCCCTATGGGATTAAAATTGCTTTCATAAACATTCATTTAATTATATAATTAATTAATCTAAAAATTGTAGTATTATTAGTAGTATTGCATTTTTTTAAATTGTTTTTGATGCTTTGGTCAATCAAAGAATAATTTTTTGAAAGAAACCAAGAGTTTTATTAAAATTTAGTTTCTTTTAATCTAACTTTATTGTGTTAAAATTAAAATTGTCTTATTGGAAATAATAAAATTAAACCATAAAAATTTAATAATTGAAAAAAGACAACTTTGGTGATAAGTTAAACAAATATTAGAAATATGCCCCAACACCAAAACAAAACACAAAGTGCTTAAAGTACTTTTCTTCAAAGATGTTGGCATTTTCAGAAGCGAAGTGTAACTGTAAAAATATAAAATTGATAAACCTTAACTTAATATATCAATGGTGTCATAGCAAAACCACAGATCTATGTAAAATTGAAAAAAATCCTTGTGAAATACCAAACATTTACAAAAAATAAAATTAAAATCTAGGTGCAAGTTTTTGTTAAATTTTTAAATTTATTTATTTTGCAATCACATTTAAAACAACATTTATGCAAAAGTTGTAATGTCTCCCAAAAAATTGTGATTTTGCAGATATATGTATATAAACTATAAAGTAGTTAATAATTTTGAGATGTATTAAAAAAGTAAACTTTTAAAAAGTCAATTATCCAAATGTGTTAAAAATATAATTTAAATATGCCAATTATTAGCATTTAAAAAAAATATATTTTTTGCAAAAAAAAATTACATTGAATTAAAATTAAATTTAGTATTACCTGGGCTATGGGCACAACCATGTTCTTAAAAGGATTCAACTGCTTTTCTTTCATAAAAATCATCAACTCCTGGGAATACCTAGCTGCATCCAACTGATTGCCAGTTTGTCTAGCTTCAGTCATTTTGACTTGAATGGCTTGCAGCTGGGGCAAATAATTATTCATTCTTGCCGCATTACGTTGTGCTATTATTACTAAAGGAAACAGTAATAACCTGACAACAAGAGTACCTACTGCGATGGCAGCCCACCATTCCAAACCAAGATCAACATGTAAATATTCAAAACAGTTTTGTGCCATACCCACAGGACTCCATCCTCCCAAACCCATAGATTCAAATGTGGGTTCCCCTAATTTATTTAGTTGGTTAATTATTTCCTCAGTGCCCTCTGGAATTGTCGGAGGTTCTGGAATTGGTTCTACTACTGATTCATCTGAAACTACAGATAATCCAGCTGCACCAAATAAAATTGGATTGATTTTTATTTTGTTTTGTATGTTCTCGCATATTCTTTGAAAATCCTTTTTGAGCTGTTTCGTTTTTAAAGACTAAAATATAGCTCATAAAATAGGTTAAAACAATTTATTACGAAAACTTACTTTACGTTTAAGTTTTCTATCTTGTGTTAAAGTTGATAAACAAAGTAATGGTTGATTTTGAACTCGGAAACCATTCACTGTATTCTGCCATTACATTTAAATCGGTTATTATAAAATTGAAATATGTTATAGAAGAGACTTACCTCGACAGTTTCTTTTAACTTTATTTTATCAACAATATCGTTTTTGGTTTTTAATGTATTATTCTGAAAATACCGAAATATTTAACCTATAATTTTAAACAAATTCATGTAATACAAACCTTTAGATATTTTAAAGAATTTCGATAGATATTCCAATCTTTAATCTTTGGTAGAGGCGAAAATCTAAACATTTTGATACAATATTAACTGACTTATATTTTAATCATAGAAAAATAATATAATTATAACTTCAAAATGTCAAAATATAACCATGCATTATTTTAAGTTGGTGCTCACAGAGTAGTTCTCTGTGTTGGTGGCACCAACTTGGTGCTCAAAAAAGGAGGAAGAAGAAGACGTCACTTGTTTCAATTTATTTTAAGTAGATGTCTCTACCGAAGTATACGAGGGTTAATAAAAAGTTAAAAAAAACTGTAAAATGTTTATTAGTCTTATTAGGACTTAAATTCCTTTAAATACATTTAAATGAAAGGATGAAAAACAATTTACCAAGGACGTTTTGAAAATAAAAAGTAGGTAATATGTATTAATAAAAACAACATTGTTTTAAAGTTTCACTATTTTATTTGTTTTTTTTTAATTTAACAATTGTTTCGCTACACGGTAGCGAAACAATCAATATTATGTTTATGTTTTAAATATGTGATATTTTGGTTTAAAAAATATACAACGTTGTCAATTTTTTTCAAATTAAACTTAAAACTCGTAATCTACACTAGTGTAGTTTACGTAGTGCGTAAATTTTCTTTGCCGTTATCTGCCTTTTTTCTGCCATTCTCCGCCATTTGTTTACATTTGTTGCTTTATATAAGTTCAGCCCGTGACTAAAAAGCCATATGGCTTTTTAGTCACGGGCTGAATTTAGCAACAGGTTTTTAGTCACGGACTGGAGTTATTTTTAATTTAGTTGACAGTTTATGTTATACAACGTTAACGTTAAAATAAAGTGCCTTCCTTGTAAAATAATACTAAATATGAAAATTATTTTATTATCTCAATACAAAAATACAAAAGTAGGTATTAGTTTCTCAACGCTAATATTTGAAAAGTTTATATGAACATTGTACTGACCTTTTAATTTCGCCGGCAGTAATTACTGCCGGCGAAATTAAAAGGTCAGTACTTACAATGTTATAGTTTAAACTATAACTTTAATTCGGGCTCGGACTCCACTGTGAAATGCTCATAAAACATTTTCTTTACTTTCACTCTGAAAAACTGTTAATTGTTAATCCATTTTCCAAGGAAAACATTTCAATTTATTACCTTTATAATCTGTGTTTATAACACATGTGTATGTATACATACATATATATTGTGTATGTATACATACATATATATACAAATTTGTCAATTATGTCAAAAAATTGTAAAAATTCTTTTGGTTTTTTATTGATGTGGTTGCTATAGAGAAATATTTTTGTTCTCGATTTTTAAATAAAGTTATAGCAGACCTGCTATAACTTTATCTTTTAGTCTCTGGTTATAGAGAGAAAACCTACGCTCAATCTTAAGATTCATTATCATTTCATCATTGAATGCTTCATATTTATTTTATTACAGTACTAAGAGCCTCGTTTATCTATGACCAAAAGCTCCATACCTTAAGGTAATTAACATTACCTAATGAAACGTCTGCTTTTATATTTTATATCATAATGTAATGGTTCAGTATTTTAATACGTTTTACAAATATATTTTTGAATAAGTTTGGAATTTCTAAATTGTGTTGTAAAATGTAAAAATCTTTGCAAAAGAGGTAAAAAACGGACGTTTAGGTAAAGAAATTACAAAGTTTCGTGGAAGACCGAAATTTTGCCTGCAATGGGAAAAAATCTGTTGGCCAGATGAGGCAAAAACAATATCGAAACTGGGAGAGGGAAGCAAAGAAAGGGGCAGAAAGTTTTCCAAAGTGTTAGAGAATGCATCGTTTTCGTAAATCTTTGCCAAAACCACAATTATTGTAAAATTCTGTGTAAACAATTGTTACAAGTGTTTGTGTATTCTCCCAGGTTCTTAATTTTAGTAGCCCAATTCTGTAGTAAAGTCCACTAAACGTAGAACGATTTTGATTTAAATAAACTGAGCATTAGTTATTTTGCACTACTGCGTTTAGTGAATTTAACTCGATATTAACACCTTTTGTTTTAGCTATTTTTATAGAATGTTTTTACCTTTTAAGTTTACTGCTAAATGTAAAAATTTATATTTCTTTCTTTTATTGTCTTAGGCTTAATTTAGTTGTATACTACTCATGTTTAAATAAAGTGCCTTCCTTGTAAAATAATACTAAATATGAAAATTATTTTATTATCTCAATACAAAAATACAAAAGTAGGTATTAGTTTCTCAACGCTAATATTTGAAAAGTTTATATGAACATTGTACCATAGATTAGATATGCTCACTCCATCTCTAAATGTCGAACGAAAATTTTAGTTTAAGATATGGTCACATTGGCGCTGTTGTAGCAGAATTTAAATAACCCGCGTTTATGAACGAATGTGTATGACGCGGCAATGCCGCCATTATTGTTTTGTTCGGCATTTGTTGTAGACAAACAAGTTTTCCTTTGTGCGATTTTGATTTTTTCATTATGGTTTTTAAATGTGCTGTAGTTAATTGTAGAAATACAAGTAAGGAGGCAATATTACATTCGTTTCCTAAAGATCCTGAGGTAAGTTTAATGTTTACTTCTGTATTAACAAACAAACATATATTTTCGAGGTTGGTTTTTAATTTTAATTGCTCTAAATATGTAGTTAAGTCCACTAAACGTAGAACACATAGAAATAATACTAATACGTATTATTTCTATGGTAGAACAATTGAGATTTAAGTTAATTAATCCTTAACTTGTCACTACTACGTTTGGCTGATTTCACTCGATATTAATATTTTGCTACAAAAATCAAATAAGGTCATGTACAGCATTGTGTGACAATTAGAATCTTTATTGTGTTACTCTAGAAAAATTAAAAAATATATTTTATCTGTGTTACAGCTATTCAACATGTGGGTTGAAGCAATCCAAAGGAAAGACATCACTATGTCTAGAAGGGTAACATCAAAGGTGTGTGATCTTCATTTTTCAGATAAAATGAAATTTGCCACCAATCGAAATAGAACCAATATTAGGGCAAATGCATTTCCAGACCTACGATTGCCAGGTAATAATTACATGCACATACATACATATTCAGTTTAATGTAATATAATTTTAACTCTACAGTTCATTGCATGTTATTTTGCTTTTAAGCTGGAATTACACATACCAAGTGCTGGGCTGAGACTAGTAATTTATCCATATATGGAGAGACAGTAAATAGGTCTCGGCCTAGCATTCAGCAGGTGTAATCTGGCATTACAGGATGAAAAATTCATATTCTCTTACTGTACAGTGTGTTCTTTTAGGACAGGCTAAGCATGGGTATCTTTTTTGTTTGATGAGCTACAAGTTGCATATTTTTGACTTGATTTTATTTTCATTTAAAAAATGTTTGAAGGTAGCCTTTTATAATACCCACTTTATTGTGTTACCTTTTCAAGGGGAATTTAAATTTACCAAAATATTTTTGCTAGCTTTAAAAACTGCTGAAATATAGGTTCCTATGCTTATCCTTGAAAAAATTGATCCATTTTTAGGTATATACTTATGGATTAATGCTAAATAATCTTGTTTTAGGCATTACTTATGATGAACCAGTACTTAGTTCAAATGATACTTTTCTTGAAGAATTAGTTACTGAGGAATATAATGTGCAACCAGGAACCTCTTTAAGTATTAGTGGTGCCAAATTTGGAGAATCAGCAGTAGAAGAGATTGATGTTGAGCCAACTCCATCTACAAGCAATTTTCATTTTGTGGAAGGTAAATATGATTTTGTTTAATTGTAAATTTAAATAAAATTAATCCTTTAAATTTCAGATTTACATACATCAGGATCAATGATTCAAACTCCCAAATGCTTACCCCCTGGAAGCCTTTTTGAAAGTCCTAAGAAAGGATCTTCCATCAGTATATACTCTCCAAGGACACCTAAGCAACGCAGAGGTACTTAGCCAGTAGCTTAAGGGGTGTTTAAGTATTACATAAGCAAACTTTCTATGATTTTAGACCCCACCCCCTGTAAAATCGAAAATAAAAAAAATCGTTAGCCCCCTCCCCTAAACGATAAGATGTAAGAATTTTTTTCAAAATTTGTATTAAATATTAAAATTTAAAAAACTACTTTTTAAAGAATTAATTAATAAATTTTGTATCTCAAGATTTATAATGTTAGCAAAAGTAAAATGTAATACTTGAATGCCTCCTTATTATAAGTAATTATTACTTTGTAATTGTTATCATTTATATTATATTTAAATAGCAAACTTTCAATTTAAAGTTTTGTCTGTAAATTTTACTGTTAAACAAGTATTACATTTAAGCATTAGATTTTTTAAAGTTTAGAAAGTGATATTTATATTTTAAATTAAGATTTTTGTTTTATTACAATTTTCAAAAACAAACAAAGCTAGTTGGTTTGACACAAGGTTGATCTTGTGACAAAACTGCAGTTTATGTATGCCTATTTTTTTGAGAACTGTCCTGTATAATGTCATTAAATACAATTGCTAAATCATATTTATTGCTAATGTTCTATTGTTAAGTAATTAATAAGTTATAGGTATAGAATTAAATTTACAATTACAATTTAATAATTATTAAATTTGTCTTATTTTAAAATTGAACATCATCCTAATATACATGTTTCATTTAAGATTTAAGGAGGAGATTTAACCTCTTGCACCATGCCAATTCCACTAGAGCTGCTCAATTGACACCTAAGGCCAAAACGTTTTATGGAATAGCAAGAGGTATGGTGCGTCTGGCTCGAAGACTAGATGTTGAAAATTCTAACATAAAGAAACGTCTGCATGAAGTCCAAAAGTTTGCAGAGTCAGGTGACTTTATGACAACTAAAGTTAACCAGATAACACTTAACTTCATACATAGCCAGATTGCCATGCAGTCAAAAAGAAGTAGGGGTCGTCGTTACTCATTAGAGGATAAAATTTTTGCATTGTCTCTTTTAAAACAGAGTCCAAGAGGCTACCGTCTTTTGCAGAAGACATTTGCACTGCCTTCGAGGAAGGTTTTAATGGACCTTTTAAATAAGGTTCCATTTAGAACAGGCCTT